TCAGGCAGCCCTGCCCCACTTGTGAATATATCTTGCGGGGCTCTATCAGGTTCGGAGGACATCTTGTCCCGTCTCAACATGCCTGGCGTCCTCCTGCAGGGCGCCACTCCCGAGGAGACGGGTGAGCGACGGCGAGGCACCACACTGGCACCTGAGTGGGCGCAGCTCGATGGGGCGCTCGTCGAGGGGCTGCTCGAGGGCGGACACACCACGGTGGCTGACCTGGGCATCATTCCACGAGCCGCGGTATTTCTGTACGGGTATGTATGGCCGGTCGGCTCCTACTCATGTCTCTTCTCTTCTGGCTATCGCTGTGGCTCTTCTTCTTGGTCTCTGCCATCCATGGATCAGGGCGACAAAGGACGCCAAGGAGGGCCAGTCGACTCTGGTGACATCAGACGTGTCCGGCACCTGCACGCCCCGCTATTCGTACGAGTACAGCATCTCGGCCTCTTTCCTGGTAGGGAGGGCCTTATTTGTTTGTGTCTCAGTCTACTTAGATTGTTCCTTCTCGTTGTATATAAAGGAGATATACAACGAGAAGGTGTGCGACCTGCTCAAACCCACCAGTGGCAGCCTGCCCATCAGATACACTGCACAGAAGGTATGGCATGAGAAGAAGACGGCACATGTCCTGCCTGCCTCATCTGTGTCCCGGCTGTCAGGGCTTTTACGTCAAGGGATTGTCGGTGTGGGATTGCGTCGAGCTGACTGATGTTTTGGCTGTATTGCAAGAGGGGGCCAAGAATAGGCGTGTGGCGGCCAACGCCTACCACGCCGACTCGTCCCGCAGCCACTCCCTGCTGACTCTGTACGTCGAAGCCGACGCAGCCCCCAGCAAGATGCGGGCAGCACACTCTGGGGCTAATGACGATGGCAGCGAGGTGCCCCCCAAAAGATATGGTACATTTGCCCAACAGACACTCTGTGACGTGCACAAACATGCTTCTTTTCTGGGTCTGTCTGTTTGTCTGCAGGCAAGATTGTGTTTGTGGACCTTGCTGGGAGTGAGCGGCTAACAGGCACAGAGGGCCTCGGCACCGACGCGGCTGCGACCACAACGAACAGGGGGACGCGTGTGGGGATGGGGATTGGGACAACGGCCGCTGCTGAGGGCCTCGATGGCACGGCGACCATCAAAGAGACACAGGCCATTAATCGCAGCCTCTTCACGCTGGGACAGGTGGGTGTGCGCACCACGACGGGGGAGAAAGCGGTATGGGGACGGACGGATGGTAAGTGACTGCATGCATGTATGGATGCAGGTGATCTCGATCTTGTCTGAGAGGAGCCGCAAAGGCGGGCAAGGGAGGCTGCACGTGCCATACAGAAATTCGAAGCTCACACAGGTAAGGGGAGACCGGAGCGCTGGTTGGGGTCCACAAAGACAGCCTCGTCAGTCACCCATTGTGCACCTGTTTGGCTGGTTCAGCTGTTGATGGACAGCTTTGGCGGTTCATCGCTGTGTCTGCTGATCGCCTGTGTCTCGCCCGCCGCCTCAGCCGTGGAAGAGGTACGGTACATTCAAGAAGAGGGCATGGGGTGGGTGGCACCGGCTCTGTGTCTGTGTCTGCGTGTGTGCGTGTGTGTGTGTGTCAGACTATGAGCACCCTGACATACGCCCTTCGGTGCATGAAGATCAGGAACCGACCCGTCCTCAGGGTAGATCCCACCCAGCAGCTGATCGTTGAGCTCAAACGGTGACACAGATAGACAGACACACACACGGACACGCAGACAGACAAGCTCTTCCTCGGCATTCCTCTTCCCGCTCTAAAGCATGTGTGTTGTCTGTGTGTGTGCGTGTGCCTGTGCAGGGAGATAGCATTCCTCCGTTACGAAAACCAGTATTATCGGAGCAACTACGGCCCCTCGCCGATCCAGCGAGACTCGCCCGTGAGTGCTGCCGACGGGCCTTTCCTCTCCGCCGCCAGCGTCACCACCATCAAGCCCCCACTTCCCCCAACCGGCCGCAACATCCTCTCAGCACCCACTAACAGCCCCCAAGCACCATTCGACTTCGCCGTGCCCCCCGGCTCTGCCGGCTCGCACGGCTCCTTCAAGTCGGCCAAGGGCGGGGGACCGGGGGCGTTTCCGACCGACAGCTCCGAGAACTTGAATTTGACTGGAGCAGCAGAGAGCCCTGAAGAGGGGGATGGGCCGTCCAAGCGGCAGGGATATGGGTATGCCTTTGCACACAGGAGGAGGCAGCAAGGGGCCAGTGGGACCAGGAAAGGGCCGGCGTACAGCAGGTCGTCGTCAGGCAGCTCCGACCGGCTGACGGGAACGGGACAGAGGAGAGAGCGGTCCCAGCCGCCAGCAGTGGGCGTCGTTCGCCGGTCCAGCCCAGAGGACAGCCGAGTGTCGTCACGACACTCGTCGATGGAGCCGTCATCCATGTCTCCCCCCGACCGCCCTCCACCCCAGCCGGCCTCCCGTTCTTTTGACGTCGACGGGCGGTTCAGGCCGCCTAGAAGAAAGCTGCAGTACGGCATGCACTTGCCGCCCATTCAGGGGTCTGGAGGGGATGATGGTGGTGATCATGCCACCGGCGCTGGGCAGAGCAGGAGGGATCGGGAGGGCGGTGGGGGGAAGAGCGATGCCGAGATGCTGGCGAGGTCACTCGAAGAGGTGAGTCAGTGCACTGAGCTGGCGATACTATCGTGCAGGCCAAGGGACACCACTTGCCATTCTCTTTCTTTTTTTGCTGGTGTGCGCCTGCCTCGTTAAGGTGGACCGCCTTCAAGACGAGCTGTCCAAGCGAGAGCACGCCATTCACTTCGGACAGAGACAGTTGAAAGAGCTCCTTGAGGAGAATGAGGTTTTGAGGACCAAGCTGGATCATCTGCAGCATGTCTTCACCGGCCCGTCGACCGAGCCGTCACAGCAGGACGAATGGGCGTTCGATTGGCACACAGACGAGGGGCGGGACCAGGAGGTGCAGAGATATGTGGGCAGGGGGAGCGATGGCGGTGGGGGGCTGCCACACCTGCCGAGGTCGCTGTCATCAGGGGATAGCAGATAGACAGAGGGGCCGCAAGTCAGCTCATGTCGTCTTGCTCTATCGCTTGAGGCTCTCTTCCTTATCCGATCTGTCCGTCATATTTTTCTCTTCGTGACACCTACTGCTTTGCTCTTCCCCCCTACCTCACTCGAACATGCGATTCGATTGCTTTCCTCTGTTATGCTTTGCATGTGGCTGTCGTGACAGAACTGGTGCGTGTAGAGTGATGCGTTCAGATGCCGATAAGACCTGTGCTCTATCCACCATGCGACTGAGGCGGCCACGAGCAAAGTACGCAGTGATTGATGGATGGGGTCACGACACGCACTCAAAAGCCATGTCATGTCTGTCAGTCTCACATCGCTCCCATGCCGCACGCACCGAGCCCATTGTTTGACGTCAAACGACAGACGCGCCACACACACACGACACGCAGCCAACCACGTCAAGCACCTCTATCCTCCACACAACAGACACCAACCAGGTTCCCCCGCCCACCCACAACAGGCAAGCCAGGCAGGCACCTCATATGATGCCGATCTTGTTGGCCACGTCAAGAGCGTCATAGTCGTCGGTGAGTCGCACGTATGCCTTCTTGACGGCGTCCGGCCGGATGAGGGTGTTGACGCGCGAGGCGGCGATGTCGTACATCTTCTTGACGGCGTCCTTGATCTGGCGCTTGTTGGCTCGCGGGTCGACGAGGAACACCAGGGTGTTGTTCTCCTCAATCTTCTTCATGGCGCTCTCGGTCGTCAGGGGGGACTTGATGATCTTGGTGTGGTCCATTTTGCTCAGCCGCGGCACCGACCGCCGAGGGTAGAGCGGCTTGCGTGGCTTCTCGAGCGTCTTGGGACGGTAGAACCGCACGCTGGTGCGCACTTTGCTCGTCCGGTTGCGGCGGACCTTCTTCACGGCATCCGCAGTCTTCTCGGCCGCCGCCACGGCTTCCTTCTTGCCCTTCGCTCCCTTACCCTTCGGAGCCATCGCTGCTACTAACGCGCGGAGATCTGGGGTGATCTGCAGCTTCTGGTGCGAGCTTCTTTCAAGAGCTCGCACCAGAACCGAAGTGCAGATCTCTCCCACAACCTCACACCCCGTATCGTTAGCTGTTGGATGGCGGCGCCAGGCGTAAGCTGCATTTCTGAAACCGGAAAAAACACATGTGAGCTTGAAGGTCCCCTCTTGTCGTTTGCACCAATGAGCAGAGGTGGTCCTCTGCTGCGACTTCAAATCGCAGGGTGCCGGGAGGCACAGACGTTCAATTCGTCCTTTGGTGCGTTTTGTTTTTGTCGTGATTCTGATGCATTTGACATGCCATTGACAGCATTTGACCACCAAATGCACCCACGAAGCCATATCAGTCCACAAAAAGGCACGATCGCGCATCACAAAGAATGACGATCGGCAGTGAAAGTAAGTGAAAGTCGGCCTGCTGCAAATGCGGCAACACCGCAATAATGGATGGGCGGCCGTCGTTCATTTCCTTCGCCTTGTGCGCGCAGATCCTTGATGGTCACCCCCACCCGATTCGGTCGACAGATCAGTCAATGCCCCCGCGACGTCCTGTCCTCTTTCATGGTGCCCGCCCGCAGCTGCCCTTCCATGGTCCTGTCGCCGGTACAGGTCTCACTGCAAGGCTGTCCGTCGCACCACCTCGGATGGATGTAATTCACAGCAAGCTGTTAAGAGAGAGAGACAGAGTGAGTGAGCCAGCCAGTGACAAGTTTGACGAGCATATAGCTGTCAGTCAGTACCTTTTGAAGCACTGCAGCTTTGATGGGCTTTCGCAGGCACTCCCTGGCCCCTGAACGTGAGGACAAACATGCACACGCACAGACGGTCCCTTGCCTGACTCATCCATCTGAATGTCTTGGCACACCTGCCTCACGGAAAGCAGCGGCATATTCTTCTGAGGCCCCTGTCAGGCCGACAATGACCGTAGAAGAGCTGTCGGCTCCTGAACGGCGGAGCTCCTGAACGGCACGCAGAGAGACACAAAGGGAGGAGGGCGGTGGATCACTTCAATCGACTGACCCGTGTGATTTCCTTCGTTGTTTCGACGCCGTCCATGTGTGGCATCTGATAGTCGATGAGGATCAGCCTGTACCTTTTGCCTTCTTTTATTTTGGCGAGAGCATCCTCGCCTACAGAGCCACAAGCAGTTGGGTACACATCGGTGTGATTGCTAAATGTGTCTCTCACCGCTCTCAGCCATCTCGAAAGACAGCTGCATTCTCTGAAGGATGTATTCCGTCGCAAGTCTGAAGCAGAGGAGAACAAAAGCTCACCCACCCAACCAACCAACTGTCCTCTGATATCACGTGCAGACATAGTTGTCATCCACTAGGAGGCACAAAGCGCTGTAGCCCTCAAAGAGGCTATCAGGAATCATGCTGCTTCGGCCACCGGGGGAGAGAGCGCGCTTGTGTCCACTCGGTGTGGCGGCCTGCAGGTTTTGTGAAGAGGGGGAGGGAGGGGAAGACGTCCGCTGCTTCATCGTTGTCGGGCTCAGCGCTGCACGAAAACGAGAGCGGCTGTTGTGCGTTGTGTGTTTTGATTGCTTCTCACTTGATTGGCTCCCTCTGCGACGGTTTTGTTGCGGTGAGAAGATTCCACTGGGCAGGGAGCTTCCGTTGGGCAGCTCAGTCACGCATCGAAGTATCCTCTTGCCGATTTCGGGGCTGAGCGTTGCAGACCTGCACATAGCAGCGTACAGGTCTTCCGTCTCAGGGCTTTTTTCTGTGCTTCCCTCCATTGCATACTTGCTGGCTTCTAGTTGTTCATCGGTTGGATACGGCAGCATCAGCTCAAGGAAGAATTCGGAGCCTTTGTTCTGCCCCTGAGATTCGACGCCCACCGATCCGTGATGAGCTTCAACGAATGCCTGTTGAAGGCGACAGGAGAAAGTATGATTAGAGAGGGCCTGCCGCCTGCTGAGTGCACTAGTACCTTTGACAGAGAGAGTCCCAATCCCGTCCCCCCACCCTTCTGCAGCTCGCCGGAGCGGATCTGACTGGACATATATTAGCAGTGTGTGTCTGTGTCTGTGTCTGTGTCTGTGTTTGTGTTGGTCGGAGGTATCAGTGTATGTCACTCACCTGTAAGGCTTGAATAGCTTGGCCTTCGACAAGACAGCAGTTCGTCCGACAGGCATTCACATGAGTATGTCGTATGCGTCTGCCTGTCTGTCTGTCTGTCTATTTGCACATACATGCCCCTCTCACCTGGTCCTCTTTCGTAATGCCTACGCCCTAAGGAGAACATGAAAGCATACTCTAAACCTTCCTTCCTGTGTACGTGGCCTTTGGCAGTTGCATGCGCACCTGATCTTCTACTGATATGCGGACAAGGTTGCCCTCTACTGATCGAGATTTGCTGCTCACTGGACGCAGCAAAGCCACCTGTAGATCACCACGAGAAAAAGAAGGGAAAAAAGCCAACGTCATCTTGGTTGACGGTGCTCACTGTGCCCGCTGACCTTCAGGGACACCGTCGATCCCTTTGGACTGAATTTCTTCGCGTTGCTGAGAAAGTTACTGAGGACTTGTGCGAGACGATTGTGGTCAGCGACACCGCGAACGCGGGAAACCAGCGGCAGATAGACAGCCGACTTGTCGCCCTCGTGCTCGTCATTTCGGACTTCTGGTTCTTGCGGAGCATACCAGTCGAACAAGAGGGGTGCAGGAATCGACAGCTTCAGCCTAAGGCCTTGCAGGACAAATGACAGCTTGACGTTCTCGTAGAGCCTGGGAGAGACACATGCCGTCATACGTTGCCGCCATCTATCAAGAGGACAGCGTCGAAGAGCGTCGGGTGGTCCCTTACTCATGAAGCCACTGTAGAACGTTGAAGGCCGTGAATTCAAAGTCGAAACTGACACGAGGCAGATACGGAAGAAGTGGCATGCCATGAATCCGACCGGATATGCCGCGTACCATCCTGCTTCCAGCTTCTCTAGCGCGAGGCAGTCATTCGATACATAATTGATGGACTCCAACTGACATCGACGAATGAAAGAGACAACATAGCTAACAAACCGACCAAGCTAGACTGTGTTCGAGTCTTACTTGCGATTCGACCGTGGAGAAGAGATAAAGGAATGTATCGAGCCATGACTGAACAGTGTCGTCGCGTTGCCGTAGGTCGTCGATAGCTGGGGGCATGTCTGGCAGCTGCAGGCGACTCGTGCACTCACTGAGGATCAGCCCGCAGCCGCTAAGCGGATTCCTGACTGGACAGCAAGCCATGTACATACATTGCCGAGAAGTGCAGACTCAAGTGCAGGCATCCTCACTTTCGTGTAGGATATAGCTGATGAACGATTTGCGATTCTCCTCCGCTTCAACCCGCTTCACATGTTCACAGAATAGCTGGTGGTCCTGAGTGTCTCTCAGCCAGGCTGACCACACGAAGAACATGCCTGCCATGATGAACCTGAAAAACCAACATTCAAGACGGAAGACAGCCTTCCCTTTGCTTCCCTTGAGTTACATTGCTGTGGCGATCGCAAACAGCTCCCAGTTCTCAGGGGTGAGGCTTTCACTCGTGGAGACGCCATCCATGTTGCTCACTTTGCCCGAGCGCAATAACTCCTTGGCGTTCCATTCGTGGAGAAACATGTAGAAAGTCGCCACCAGCGCCACATTGTCAAACACTTGAAACATTAGAGCAATGTGTGTCTGCATTTAGTCAGCCACAGGCCGGCCCTTCGAATGTGTCGTTTGTGCGGACGAGAGGCGTACTCGCTTACTGGCATGGGAATGATGAGAGCCGCAAACACCTTGATGCTGAAGGAGTCGCTTCCAAATACAAAGCATCCAAACGCTTTTGATGGCATGCCACTGTGCAAGGAAAGGTTAGAGACGGACACATTCATCAACAGCTGCTGCTCCTTTGCCAGTTGATCTGCACTTACGTGACATTAGAAAGATGACCGATGGTGCTGACGAAGAAAGCCATGGCGATTGTGATTGCCACATAGCGATCTGTCACGAACGAAGACCCCCGTTGCGTGTGTACCTGCAGGAAACAGAAGAAGCGGAGAATGGCGGAACACACCGTGAAAGCGTAGGACGGCCAAGCAACCTACACCATGCTTACCAGTCCGAGCAGGCAGAAGAACAGAACAGTAATGAAAAACAGAGACACAATGGTTGCCCGATGACCACTTCGGTCGACGTCCTCACTGATCCGTTTCTCCTCTGTGACGGAGCTGCACTTGGATGAATCGCCCAATGCAGTCGTCACCGTGTCATTTAAAGGGCAGGAATCCATCCCATCCGTGTCAAGTCCGGCCAAAAAGTCGCTGATCTCCCCCCACGCAGTCCCGACGAGGCAAAGCGCAAAGCCACACGCCAGGAGCAAGAACCCAATGGAAATCTTTCTCAGCCGCTGCTGCTTGAAGTGCTCATTGCGCCACTCAACGAAGCGACGGTCGAAAAGGAAGAAACCTGTCGGCATCTTTCCCTTCCACCAGTCCCCAAATGAGAGACGACGCGGAGGTGGGGAGAATCGCTGACGATGACCGATGAGGACAACGATAAGGGGAACGATGAGGGCAAGCTCCGGGGAGGCGCATCTCTCAAGCCCCGCAGACGCCCCCAGTCCCAAGCTCGCAGTCTCACCGATCTCGCTTACAGGGGCGTGAGGCCACCTTGTCGTCTTCATCTTCCTCCCCGTCGTCTTGATCTGCCGACCTTGTTCCGCGAGGAGATCCAGCCTCCAGGATGTCCGACCGCTACGACGATGTGCTGCTGGGGTTGGCGCGTCATCACGAGGGCATCGAGCCTCTCCTGGAGACCTTCTTCAGTCAGCGGACACCACCCAGTGACACACTGTGTCAGCTGGTGCATGCTCCCTCTCTCCCCTTGGTTTCTCACCTTCTCACCTCTCAGGTTTCCTGGAGCGTCGCACGGACTTCTTCCACATCATGACCGAGAGGGGCGAGAAGATGGGCTTCGTGCCCGGACGAGCCGAGGAGATGCTCAAGGACACCTTCCAGAAGTACCAGCGCCAGTACATCTCCCGTGTGCAGCCGAGCCTGCCCGCCAAGCTCAGGCAACTGTCGGTACGTACGTATACAGCTGACGGGGGCACGCCACACATGCCTCTGGATGCGATGCACGCCGTCTCTTCTCTCTGGCGCTTCACCCTTCACCTGTGTCGGTCAGGACAAGCTGCCTTCTCCCAACCACAAGAACGGCGGCGGCAACAACAACAAAAAGTACGAACTGGCCCCCGTCAACCCATCACTGCTGACTCCCGTGACCACCTCGGCACGGGTGGACAGTGGTCCCTCCTCGCCCATCCCCACCGCCGAGATGGACCGTCCCCTGGAGCTGCGCAACGGCAACCCGCAGGCCATGCCCGAGGACACCACACCCGAGAACACCTCGTCGAGGGCTGCGGAGACGCACGAGACGCCCGAGGAGGCCAAGCACATCTCGACGTGGAATGGGGGGGAGACGGGCAGGTACCGCTGGTCGCAGACCTTCACCGAGGTGACGGTGGAGGTGCCCGTCTCCAGGTGCCACGCAAAGGACATTACTGTGGACATCGGCGGCCAGACCCTCAAGGTAGGCCTGAAAGGAGGAGGGAGGGACGACAACGGAGACAACCAGTGAGGCTTACGGTCGGGGTGTGTGTGTGTGTGTGTGTGTGTACGTCAGGTGTCGTGTCGCGGTGAGGTGATAGTGGAGGGCACTCTGTACGACAAAATCCTCAAGGAGGACTCGACGTGGAGGTGACCACACGCACGACAATCCCACCATCCGCATGCATGCCAGCGGAACCCTCACTGTGTCGCTCCTTGCTGTGGGTGTGTGCAGCCTGGAGGACGGCGAGCGCGTTGTGGTGACGCTCTTCAAGACCAAGGAGACCTGGTGGAAATGCGTTATCGAGGTGAGTCGGGAGCCGACACAGACACGGAAAGCCCCTTGACCAGCCAGCCAGCCAATCAACCGACCATCACGATTGTGTGAACGTGTTGGTGTTGTGCAGGGCGACCCTGAGATCGACCCCACCAAAGTTGAGTCCTCCAAGAGGATCGGTAAGCTGAGAGAAGGCAACGGAACCATGGGTCTGTCATTCTCTGTTTGGTTGTCTGATGGATTGTCAGAGGACTTCGATGACGAAACTCAGGGTGCGATTCGGTAAGGGCAGAGAGAGCGCGACAGACACACAGACAGGCAGACAGGCGCTTATCGATCGGTTGTGTGTTGATGTGATACTGTCCCGTTCCGTGTGTGTGTGTGTGCAGCAAGATAGTGTTCGACCAGAACCAGAAGGCCCAGGGTCTGCCAACGTCCGACCAGATCAAGACGGCCAACCTGCTCAAGGACGCATGGGACGCAGAGGGCTCGCCATTCAAAGGTACAGCCACACACACTCACACACAGGCACACATGCACACGAACAGCTAGCTGATCATTTCTTCATTATGTGACTGGTCGGTGTTGCATTGCAGGTCAGCCGTTCGACCCCGCTGCCCTCAACCTGCAGGGCAACGTGCCTGAGGCCCTGGTCAGCCAGCTCCAGTCCATGCCTGAGCAGACGGGCAACGCCCCCACGGGAGGAGCACCCAGCCAGGGCAGCGGCACCACACAGTGAGGAGCAGGACACACAGACAGAGAAACGGGCGGTGGCGGTGGGCACATACGTGTAGCGTGCCGGTGTTGGGGGGGGGGTGGTGAGAGGAGACGGGGTGGGTGGATGGGTGGGCGGGGAACATTGTCTAGGATGGTCTAGGTCGGTAGGATGGATGGATGGATGACCGACGATCGATCTCACTTGCTTGCCTCTCTTTTTCGTTGGTTGGAGCTCTGCGTCGGGAAGGGGCGGTGTGCGTGGGGAGGGGAATCACTCATTTGTTGTTGTAAGTGTGTAGCTGCCGCATCTACCCACCCATATGATATGCATCAGCAATCTCCAGCGTCAGCAGCACTTCTGCATCTGTCGCTGCACGCGCGTATGTATTGATGGCATTGCATGGGGGTGGGAGGACCGGAGAGACAGACGACACAAGCACGCGACACGGGCAGATGAAGTAGTTAGTCTTTCCCCTCGAGCAGCCACAGGTCGAGGTACTCTGTGTGTGGGTATGTGAGAGAGAGTGTGGGTTGAATGCAGACAGAGACAGACCAGATGTATGTAAGTGACTTTGTCGTGTCGTGCCTAGCGTGTGGGTGGGGTGGGGTGGCTGAGGTGGGTGAGGTGGGAGTCACTCGTCGGTACAGACACCTGAATCAACAGCACTCGTTCGTCAACACATCAATGGCTGGCGTGCACAAAACAAACCCTCACTAAGTGAAACACGGATCATCTTCCTCTCTGCGATCGCATCCACTCTATCAGTGTCGGACTGCCATGCCCCTTTACTTGGCTGTCTGTTTTCCCTGCAGGCGAGTCCGCCCCGTCAGCAGCACTCTGCCTTGCTGTCGCTATAGGGCTGACGTCAACTCTTACATGACTCTTGCGAACAGCAGAAGGAGGTGAGAGGGGTGGGGGAGAAGAGGGCCTGCTCGTGTCTTGTTCTGCTGCAGGCTGACAAACAGGCTCGTCATGGGTAGCGGTGGCTCCTTCCACCGATGTCAGGGAGCTCTGTCTGCTCCGGGGGATGGTCCGCGCACTGCTTGTGCGCTGGCGCTGGATGTGCCTCGTCTTGTGGGGGGCTGCGGACGGGCGAGACGAAGATGAAGCCGAGCTGGACACCGCTGAGAGAGGGGGCTTGGACGGCTGCTGCTGAGATGGCGACCCCTTTAGCTGAGTGACCTCCTCACTTTTCGCCTGACGGAACAGACGGGTGGGTATTGGTGCTGACTGACGAGACATGGGGTGATATGTATGTTCATGTCACCTCCAGCTGTCTTTGCAGCTCGGCAACATGACTCTTCACTGCTGTCTTCTCGGCGTCCTTCTCACTGAACGGACGGCGCACACGAGAGGAGACTCAGGAGAGGAATACCCTTGTCGATCCCTGTCTGCAGCACCTTGCCGTACCTGAGCTCGTGCTGGAGCGTCTCCACCTTCTGCGTGAGGGCATCGATGGCCGCTCCGCGGTCAGCCTGGATCTTGTTGATCCTTTCCGCCAGCTCAGTGTTCTTGGATGCCCATGTCTCGGCGAGCTGACGAACGTCTTCCTCGGCCTTGCGCCTGATGCCCTCTGCTCTTTTCTCGAAATCCTCCTGGGCCCTCTGCTCTCTCTTCTGCGGACTGATCAGAATAGGCGCACAAAGGAGGCTGTGTCGCTTTCTGTGCGTGTGTGGGTATGGGAGGGAGGGGGTTGGCTTACTCTCTGCTGTCTTGTTCGTGCTGCAGCAGCCTCTCCAGGACATCACACTTCTCCTGCACTTCCACCAGCCGCCTGCATGGACGTGCACATCACTACATGCATGTGGATGTTTGTGGTCTAATTTACTGAGTGAGCTGCAGGCACTTCCGCCTCCACTCACGCTGCTCGGGGCTGCCATCCTGCTGCTGTTCCTTCACGCGTGTGTCCTCTAGCTGCTGCACCGCCTCACTCAGGGCCTGAGCCAACATACAACACACACAACCATGCAGTCGTGTGCAGGGGCTAAAAGGCCTGCTGACCTCGCCCAATCTGTCTCTCTCTTCAGTCACGGCACGTAGCTGCATCCACCCACCCACCCATCCATCCAGCGGCTGCATTGGACTCCCTGTGCGTGGTTTTCGCCCACCTTGTCCTTCTGTGTGGTCAGCTGCCGCTTCAGACTCTGCGCGTGGTCTTGCACTGTGTGTGAAGGCAAAGGGCGGGGGGAAGCGTGTCAGCCACGGGGGATCTGACGTATGAGTCTCTCTGCCCTACCTTGTGCGTGCTGGTGTTTGAGTTGTTCGAAATGCTCCCGTGTCGCTTCAAGAAGGTCGGGAGAGGACAGCGAGGCCGTGATGGGCTGATTATTTCTTTGTCTCGTCGGTCTTTTTTCGAATGCGCTGAGGCGCTCCTGGAGCTCGCTGATCAACGTGGAACGGGCCTGAGATGGAAAGACGCATTTAAGCCTTACGCGCGCCATTGTTTGCTGGCTCTCTTACCTGTAGCTGTCTGTCTCTCTCCTCGATCTGCGCATGCAATGGGAGAAACGGTACATGGATGCATTGGTCTGCCTGCATACCGACCGACCGATTTGACGAGTTGTTCCTTGAGCTTCTTCAGGTCTGCAACCTCATCTCTAGAGCCCGAAGGGTCATCTGCGGGCTTGGTAGTGGCTGCGGGCCTTGCTGGAGTAGATGCCGCTGAGAGCTGCGATTGCGCCCTATTGGTCTTGGTGTCCCTTTCTTTCAAGCTCATGGTAGTGATGCGCATCATGTACATGTGAGACCCTACACAAAACACAGATGGACAAACATCCATTTCGCCGTCTGTATCCGTCTGTGCGTGGCTGTGCTCACTTCTCCTGTGTGTCTCTAGCTCCTTCTGCAATCGAGCATTCTCGCCCTCAAGCTCTTCCCTGCAGCCAGACAGTTGCACAAGGAGTACTCACTCACGACAACTGCTGCCGGGTCGGTGGGCTGCCTGACTTTCGCTGCTGCATGTCTCGGAAGCTGTTGTTGTGTCTCGTGAACTTTGAGATGGCCTTGAGGAGCTCCTTACGAAGGGTGTTCAATTCAATCTCGACACTGAAACGCGCATATCATTACAGAGAGGGGCGACACGTCACGATCACTTCGTCTCCCTATTCTCAGAGTCTCATGCACCTTTTGTCCAGCAGTGTCGAGGGAGACACCCCATCGGTCTGTCCATTGTTGCCGTCCTCTTTTGTAGTTGTAGTCGGGGCAATGGATGTCCTGAGGACGTCTCGCGCCGCCTCCACTCCTTTCAGCCGAGCCTCCAGCTCCTGCTGGCCAGCTATCAGCTGCATGCAGTGCCACATCCACTGCAACACAGGGGGTAGGCAGATGGGTTGGCCTACCCGGGCGTTCTCGGCGGTGAGCTTCTGCACGAGGAGTCCTGGTGCGCCTTCGCTGCCGGCGTTCATCTTTCCCATTCTGCGGGGTGAGACGGAGACGGCCCAGGATGTGCAGCCCTGGGCGGGCCGGTGGCGCCAGTCAAAAGGCAAGTCGCTGTCGGTGCAAATCTCCGGAGAGGAAGAGTCTGTGCTGTGTAAGACAGCATAACAACGAAGTGAGCTCTTCAACCCGCTTGAGCTCGCAATTTACAAGTTACAAGTTCGTCGATCCTTCTTCCCCGGTTTGCACAGAATGACATCGCCTGTGCCTGAAAGTGTGGCGTCTGTGGTGTTAGAGAAAGGTACGTCTTCTGGCAGCCCGTGCCAGTATCCCTACCGCAACGTACCCGTCTATGTCCGCAACAAACATCTGTGCATTTGCCTGCGCAACAAGCCCGCCGAGCAGTTCCACCTCTGGGACTTCACTCTCTATGACAAGTAAGTAGGCTTCACCAACAAACTTTGAACAAAGCGGCACATCCATCCGTCCATCCATCCATCCATCGTGTGTGCATTCGTGTGTCCGTCGTGCCTGCAGGTTGCTGGAGGCCGAGGGCAAGATGTCATTCAAATTTAAGAAGAAGGACTGCCAGGTGATGCTCCAGGGCGACCCGCAGACCCTCCGGACCATCAGGCAGGAGGTGCTGGCGCTGATGAATGGCTTGGGAGTGGAGGGCCGCTCGACGCGGCCGCAGGGCAGACCTGCATTGGCGGCAAAGGGTCCTCACAAACCCCGCCAGCAGCCTGCACAACAGGCCAATCCGTATGCGAAGCCCTCTTCGAGCGTCGCAAGTCGCCCTCCGTCCCGCGCCAACTCGTTTGTTTCCGAGCCCGTCCTGCCCCGCCGTGCGGACCTGAAACGACAGATCGACTACCACAGCGGCAGCCTCCTCCCTCCCTTACACCCCGCCAAGCGCAACGCATCACGGCCCACACCGGATGAGATGAAGCGGGAAAGGGAGAGGAGGGACGCCTCACCCGGCGGGAAAAGCGACTCGTCAGGAAGGTCGGGGCGGTCTGGGGTGTCGGGGGTGTCGGCCGTGTCGAGGCCGCTGGCACTGTGTCCGGAGGCTGACAACCTCACGGAGGCACAGAAGAAGGTGAGAAGGGGCAAGGAAGGCAAGAGAGACCGGGAGCTCTGGTTGTGTGTCTTCAGGTGGTCAACCTGGCGAGATATGGGAAGAATGTTTTCTTCACGGGCGGGGCTGGTGGGCTTGGCTTACATTAATGCAGACGAGTGCACTCACACCGCATGTGCGCTGTAGTATCTGTATCTGTACGTGTTTCCATCCATGGCAGGTGTTGGCAAGAGTTACCTCATCCACATACTCAAGAGTTTCATCCCCCAGGACACGCTGTTCGTGACGGCGTCGACGGGCCTCGCAGCCTGCCAGATAGGCGGCAGCACCATCCAGAAGTTCGGAGGTCAGGAACACGCACATACATACATGCCATGAGTGCAGGAGCAGACAGACATGAAACATGCTGCTGTATTCTCTTCCCTTGGCCTTTTTTCCCTCCTTGATCCAGGCATTCAGAACTCTGATGACACCGTCGATCGCATCGTGTCGTCTGTCACGAAGAGCTTCCAGGCAATGCAGGTAGGTACCTTACCTGACCTGACCACACACCACAATAAATGCCACGAATGGGCCACGGCAGACCTGATCAAGGTAGGCACATGGACTGTACATGTATGTCCGCGTCTCTGCCGGTCAGCGTTGGACGTCGGCCAAGACGCTCATCATCGACGAGATCTCCATGGTGGAGGGGCGCTTCTTCCAAAAGCTGGAAGGTGGGCAGGCAGGCACAGGACACCCCACACGCACTCTCGATCCATCCCCTCCCCTCCCCTGATCAGAGCTGGGGCGTCGCCTCCGTGGTTGTCACAAGCCCTTCGGCGGCCTTCAGGTACTCGATGACTTGTAGCCATGGCTCTTCGCTGTCTCCTAAGCTCTCCTCTGTATGTCTCATTTAGTTGCTCATCTCTGGCGATTTCCTCCAGCTGCCACCTGTTCCACCCAACGACCCCGCATCGCTCCCTGCTGCTGCTGCATCGTCATCCCGCGGGCCGCCGGGCATCAAACGCAGCGACTCCACGGCCAGTCTGCAGAGCAACGCGTCGACGGGCTCACGCAGGGGGGTTCGGAAGCTGCCCGTCATATTCGCCTTTGAGGTGAGATGGCGGAGACGTTGGGTGATTGATGCGTGTGTGGACGTTGTCGGCGTGTCTTGAGCAGACTGATGCGTGGCGCAAGACGGTGCAGCACACTGTCGAGCTCACACAAGGTATACCTGACTGGCCTGGCCTGAAGGCTGACGCACAAACCGCACGGCACATCTGTGTGTGCGAGGTGTCAGTGTTCCGTCAATCCAACCAGCAGTTCATCTCGATCCTCAACGAGATCCGCTTCGGCAACCCGTCACCTGCAACACTCACACTTCTCATGGCACACGCCAGACACCTCATCAATGGCCGCCAGCAGCAGCAGCAGCAGCAGCAGGGTCAGAGCAAGGCGGGCGTCGTGGCCACCAAACTGCTGCCGAGAAGGTGGGGAGACACACGCACACGCCAGCCGATTGATGTGTGTGTGTGGGGAATTCTTCTCAGGAAGGAGGTGGATGAATTGAACCGTGAGTCGCTGCGCCAGCTGCCCGGACAGACGAGGGAGTTCCTGGCAGTCGACAACACCGGTGGGCCATCCATCCATCCATCCATCCATCGCCCGCACGCACCCCATCGATGACAGACACCTTTCATCTGGATGCAGGGCCCGGCGGCATCGATTTGGACATGGCCACCAACGCCCCCCGCCATCTGACACTCAAGAAGGGCGCCCAGGTCATTTTGGTCAAGACCATCAACGCCTCCAGACACCTCGTCAACGGCGCGAGAGGGGTTGTCACACAGTAAGGGAGACACACACAAACAAATGCACACACAGACAGAGGACACTCCTTTGTGTGTGCGAAAGGGTGAGTGTGTGTGTGTGTGTGTTTTGTGCACTTAGGATTCACCCCAAGTTGCTGGTGCACTTCCCCGGTGCAGCGGGGTCGAAAGACCACGAGATCAACGCGACTTGCTTTGACGTCAGAGTACGTCCTGCCAGACGGACGGCTCACACAAACACCTCCATCCATCCATCCGTGTCTCTCTCGGTCTCATCTCCGCCTGACTGTGTGTGTGTGTGTGTGTGCAGGTGGGCAACCAGGTGGTGGCCACACGAACGCAGGTCCCCCTGGTACTCGCATGGGCATTCACCGTACACAAATCGCAAGGTAAGGTCACCAACCAACCAACCGACACACACAAACACAAACAACAATTAACAAGTCACTCACGAGAACACGCCTTCTGTGTGTCCGTCTGCAGGTATGACCATAGACATGGCTGAGGTGGGCCTCGCCGGCACGTTTGCCGAGGGTCAGGCGTATGTCGCTTTGTCGCGTGTGAAGAGCCTGGAGGGCCTGACCATCCACGGCGTGCGGGATGAGAACGAGCTACGGTACGTCATTCGGGCCAATGACAGGTGTCTCTTGTACTACGAGAACCTTCGGAAGGCCGCCAACAGATAGACCTGGGTGGTACTGGGGTTGGGTGTCTGTCTGGCTGTGGTGTGGTGTGGTGGATTGATTGATCTGAATGCAATGCGTGTGTGAAGGCCAAGGTGTGAGATGGACACAGGAGAGACACACGGCTTAATATGACTATGACACGTACGGTACGCACCAATCCGACAGACAACAAGGGTAGGTAGGTACCACATCCACCGCACCCACTCATGCGATGCGTGTTGGGTTTGTCTGTTAGACAGACAGGAGAAGAGAGAGAGAGGTATAGATAGATAGAGCCACAAATACGATGAATGCTGCACCAGTGAGTGACTGAGTGAGTGAATGGACGCTCCACACACACACACACACACACAGAGCACACGCAATATTATATACAAAGAGCCAGACCTACCTTTCAACCTGCCTGTCTACCTTCCTACTCCCACTCCACCCACCCACCCGCCCCATTAATTGAAGCCTCTCAGCCCTTTCTCTTGTCGCTGCCTGGCTTTCTTGGCTCTTCTCTTCTGGCAACCCTGGTGGTGTCCGCAGACACTCAGACAGGCAGACAGCCGTCGGTCGCCATCGCGACCTTTACGCACACACACACATCTATCTGTCCGTGAGCGAGCCACGATGAAGCGAAAATGTGGCTCTCTGGTGGTGGAAATCACTGTATGGGTATATGTGAAACGACGACCAACCACCAGAGAACGGAATCAATGACACAAGGGGGAGGGGAGGGGGGGGGGCGGGGATCGGCAGCTGCAGCTCTACTGCCGTTTGTCCTTTTCCTTGTCTTTGTCTTTGTCCTTGTCCTTGTCTTTATCTTTTTTCTTCTTCTTGGGCACATTCCTGACACAAACCACACACACACGCGCACGAGTGCCAATGTGTGGGTGTGCGCTTGAGTGGCTGTGGGTGTGTGGCTGTGCGTCTGTCTCTGTTGGTTGCGTACTGGAATTCGGCCTTGTAATCGACGAATTTGAAGAGCTGTCCCTCCTCGGCGGGCTTGTCGCTGCAGTGCCACAAGTGGAGCGTCAACTGGTCGTCTGCAGAAGGACGGGACGCACACACACACACAATATGTCACCACATGCGCCGTGCGCACACATACATACAGACAGACAGTCGTCATGCGGTGCGTACTCTTGGTGCCTGCGCAGAAGGACGAGTGGGTGAGCCGCCCGTTGGTGTGCTCCCACACCTGCACACACACACACACACAGACACATACAGAGAGAGAGATGCGCTGTGCTGATCTGATCAGATCTGTCAGTGTCATTCAGCGTGGGTGCGTTTGGTTGTGTGTACCTACCTGGTTGTGGTTGGTGCCTTCGCAGAGGAAGAGGATGGTCTCGTGGCCCTCGCTGGGCGGGTTGGCCGCGTCGAAGCACTTCTTGCTCTCAACATTCTGCAACGTCCTACCCTGGTTGCGCCACTGAAACCTGCAACCACTCACACACACACATAATGAGATACGTGTGGTGTCGTGTGCGTCGGTCTCTGCAGGTGATCACTCACTCACTGACCTCTGCGCTTTGCTTTCTTTGTCACAGGTGGTGTAAGCGAGTCTGTCTCTGCTGAGCGGGGGGTTCCGCTGGTTGAGGACGTGCTGGCTGGGGATGAGGCACTGGTCGGTGCCGGCCTTCTGGATGAGGAACGTGTTCATCGGCAGCATACCGCGATCCACAAACACGTCGTGGAACTTCTCGACATACCTGCACATAACACAATCACACGAGAGACTTGCCTTGCGTGTGTGAGGGAGGGGGGGAGTCCAGAGGGGATGCCGTGAATCCTCACCAGCTGAATGGTTTGCAGTTGAGCCGCTCCTTGATAGTCTCCCTTTCGGTGGTGTTGCCCATGCGGTCCTTGAACTTGCGACCTGACGGATAGTGCTGGTAGAACCTGCACGGGAGGACCACACACGGCACGGACACACAGAGTGCGGGATTCTTTTACGAATCAGGTCGTGTCCGAGCTGTGCTGTCTCTTTCTGCCTACTCACTTTTCCTTGTACTCGTCCCACCACACCTCCACTGCTCGGGCCTTGTTGACCATGATCTTCTCGTTGTCAATCTGCACACCACACGACCGACAGGAACAATAACAAGAATATCACAAAGAGAGAGAGGCCGTCATCTCATGCGGCGCACTCACTCACTAACTCTCTCTCTCTCTCTCTGACCTTATAAGGGAACTTTTCCCTGAAGACGTGCCCGACGATGGAGTCCCTTGCGACATAGATCTCGCCCCCGCAGAGCCAGATCCGTATGGACTGCTCTATGTTCTCCCCGCCCCACTCATACATGCCGTCATCGAGCTTGCCGCTCTCCTCCCACCACCGCTTGGTCATCGCCAGCAGCCCCCCGCTCATGCAGGGCACCAGGTCGTTGTGGTCCTCGAACCACTGGAACTGCAGCGTCCAGTCGAACATCATCTTGACACCCACCGCCGCCCGGTTGATCTCCCAGGTCTCGCCGTTGAGGATGGGGATCAGCGGCACCACCACCCTCTTGTAGTTGGTGTTGGTGTGCCGGATCAGGGGCGCCGTCCACCCGGGGTCGGGCTTCACGTGGGCGTCGAGAAACACTATCAGGTCGCCCTGAAGGAAGCCATGCGCAGAGGGGGAGAGAGAGAGAGAGAGAGAGAGGGAGAGTGGAGGTGTCTCGCCTGCGTCTTGTGCTGGTGCTTGTGTATGCTATGGCGATGGTAGGGTAGGGTGTGATACCTACCTCTGCTGCATCGCCTCCGATGAGTTTTGACCGGATGAGTCCCTCCCTCTCCTCGTTGCGGATGATCTTGACATTGGGGAAACGCGTGTGATTGTAGGCAGTCGACATCGGCGGGTCGCTGCCGTCATCCTTAACACAACACACACCAGCCACACCACACGCATACAATACAGCCAAAGCGCATCGACTGCCTGTTGTTACCTTACTTACCACAATGATGATCTCCTTGAGTATGTCAGGTGGTGTGGCGTCATAGATTGACGCCAGCGTCCTCTCGCAGTACTGCTGCTCGTTGTGTGCCGCCAGGATGACCGACACCATCCGCAGGTCGTGGACCATGTCGGTGCTGTTCTCAAACCGCTCCGGCGACACCATCCGCAGCTTAGCCATCTGCCCTCCCTTGGCCGCACTGACATCACCACCCTGTTTGTTTTGCTGTTTCTGCTTCTGCTGCTGATCTACCACCTTGACCGGCGGCAGCTTCTCCCTCCTCGCCCTTAGCTTCATCAGCCGCTGGCTGAAGGGTGCTGGTGTGGGTGAGCCGTCGCTAGTCGAGGTGCCTCCAGTGATAGGGTTCATGTATAGGAGGAGGAAGCCAAGCTGGATGGCCGAGACCAGCAGGAGGTAGACGAAGAAGGGCAGCGCCTTGCTCTCGACTCGCAGGGGGTCTATGAGGATGGCGATGACCGAGACGCCCACGGCGATGTACGAGTACGACAGGCTGGCGCCCAGGAGCACCGACGCAACGGGGATCACCAGCAGCAAAGCGAATCGGAGCGCCTTCTTCATCGCAGCGCTGTGCTGGGCCGACTGACCGCAGCCGCCACCTAAGGCCGCAGATCTTGGCCGCTCTCGCTCACCAACACAGCCGCCCCATTGCGATAGATGCTATCCGAGCCGCTTTCCCCTTCTTCGCTTCCGTTGCGTTCCCGCGATCGCACATTAGCTCGCCCACCCGCTTTCTCAAGGAACCGCGACACGACAGGGTTGAATTGTGTGAGGCGTGCGTGTTGTTGTCAGTCAAGATGTCGGTAGATTCTCGTCCGACGATGACGAGCACCAAGTTCATCCCGGCGTACTTCGAGTACAACGGGCCGGACACGGTGGTGACTCAGTTCCACGCCAGGCAATGGTCGCCCGAGATGAAGGAAAAGGGGCAGAAGCCGGAGGACACCTACCAAGTCAACCTTTCCACCATGGCCGACCTCGTGGTGAGCCAAGGAAGACAAGAAAGGACCAGAGCAGTGTGCTATGGATGTGCCCCTGTGTGCTGTGTGTTGTGTCCTGTGTGTTGATCAGCTTTATGCCTGTCGTGAGGAGAAGTTCAAGTACGACCAGTGCTTCAACCACTGGTACAGGCACCACTTCCTACGAGGCGACATCTCAGAAAAGAGCTGCCAGAAGGACTACGACATTTACAAGCAATGCGCCACGGTCAGGACTTGACAAGACAGACAGACAGACAGACAGACAACACAATGACGGCCATCCATCCATCGATCTATCTGACATTGTGTGTGTCTTGTCTGTCCGTGTCTGTCTTGTCCCCCCATATATCCCTCCCTCCGTTGTCTGTCTGTCGGATCAGAAAGCGTTGGAGCGTCGCGGTTTGGGCAGCCTGTGCGGTTGGGAGGACACGGTCTACCGGCGGCCGAGCCACTCGATGTACAACCCCAAGGGATTCACCAGCCCACGACCCGGCAAGTCACCACAAGACAAACAAAGGGAGGCCGACCACATGGCGCAGAAAAGACTCAGCGCAGCCGCACCCCTTCCCGAGAGGAAGCCGGGGGTCAACAGCCCGCCACAGGTCAAGTTTGTCCACATTCCCTCCAGCCATGGGGATGAGGGGCCGGGTGGCGGCACAGATGAGTGAATTTATTAAGGGGCAGGCAGGCAGGTAGACCCTGAGGGACAGGGAGGGGCGCGAGGGAGGGGAGGGGCGGGGCGCGAGGGAGGGAGACCTTGCAGTGATTGGGTGTAGAGTATCGTGGCCATCGGTGTCTGATTGATGAGATGGCGAACCAGCGAAATGCTGGCTGTCTGTGTCTGTGTGTCTGCCTGTCTGGTCAGGCGTGGCGTGTTTGTGACAGCCAGACAAAGGTTGCGAGAGAGAGATGTGTTTCAATCCATCAACACGTGAATGTGTCAATCATCACAGCTGCTCGCAAACATTCGTTCAATGGCGGGTGGGGGGTGTGGGGCGGGCGAGTCGGGCTATACACACACATACACAAGGACACAGACAGACACAACACACACACACACACCTCTCCTCATAAACACACACACACACTCGCACACACACACACACAGGAGCGAGCCATGGCTCGATATACACAATACTAGAATGGAGTGGAAGCAGACAGACAGACATCGATCAGATGGCACCACCCACCCCACCGGCAAAACACAGCAGCACCGATGCAATGCAGCGAATCCAAGTGAGCCAACCAGCTACTCTCCCTCATCTCATCTATCTCTGTCTGTCTGTCTGTCGCTATCGTCCTCCCTAGCAGACCCAGGCCGACAGACAGGCCGACAGCCCACCGCCATCCTCAGCTGAATCCCATCATCCGAGCCGCGTTCGAGCGGCTGTTGGACCTGAATGAATGAACCAAGCACACACACAGACCACAGACCACCCGATTATCCCTCCCTCCGTCAATCCAATCCATGTGGTACTCTCTCCCTCGGTGTATATGTGCTGTCTGCGGTGCCCTCCCTCCCTCCCACCCACCCACCCACCCACTTACCC